GTTTGCAGAAATGGTATTTTGACCCCCGAGACTATCTGTAGAATAAACTAATCCCCAGTTAGACATTCCCAATTTTTCTGGAAATACTGGAGTCTCCCTGCAAGGGGTAGAGGCAAGTGTGAAATTGATGTATCTAGCCCTAGATTTTTCAAGGCAGGATGGATGTTCAGCTGAACAGTCTGTTGTGGAATGCCCAGAACCTGGTCTGAGAGGCGATAGATGTGATTCGGGTGATCTCCGCTTGACCTCAAATGTAATGAGCAAGGACTTGCCTTTAAAAGGATATCCTTTATCCCCTCTGTAACCACTGCCTCTGTAGCCACTTCCTCTGCCCCGGAACTGAGTAGGTCGGCCCCCACCTCGGCTCTGAAATGATGGCCCTCGGCGAAAGGGTTGGTATTTCATGACAACATTTCTATTGGCACCATTCTTTTGAATTTTCTGGTGAGGGGGGGGGGGCGTAATATGGTGAGAAATCTCTTTTGAAGACTTTCTCAATTGTGTGGCCTTGTGGAGAGCCTTGTAGAACTTTTTGCCAAACAAGGTTTTATGAGGCTTTGCTAATGACGTCTGATGCTTCTTAAGCAAGCTTTTAGCCTTTTTCATTTCCCCTGTTAGGCGAGAAAGAACTCCCAATCGTCGTGTATATAACAAATTTACATTGGCTTGTCCAAGCAATGTAATAGACTGCTCAACCAGTTTTACGCATGCATACAGGTCAAGTTGTGTATCGGATTTACGAGTTCTGACCTCCTCCAGTGCAAGCCACAGCTTGCCGAGGGGTCCCATAACATTAGAAACCCGAGATTGCACTTTCACAAGGCTATTATCCGACTCTTTGCCGTAAGATTTGCCCATAGTTTCAAATATTTCCCCAATATAATCATCAATCTTTGGGGTTTGAAGGCATTGAATATTCGGCACAGGGTTTGCACCAATTCAAGTACTGTTTCCTGAATATCCTTGTCTGGAACATAGGATGTAAATTTATTTGCTAAGTACTTCACCATGTCTTTTGGTAAAACCAATTTTTCACTAGTTGTGTTATCCGTGTCAAAGCGCACGTAAACATCAACGTCAGACCCGGGGTCCGGTGAAGTGTCCCTTCGCGTTGCTTGTGTCTTTGGCGTTGCCTTTCGCTCTGGTGAAGATTTACGCTTCTTGCGACGTTTATAGTCACCATCTTTACTGCTAGCAGATTTGTCTGAGTCGCTGTTATCGCTAGAACTCGATGATGAAGAGCTACTAGAGCTTTTAGAACTACTAGAGGTCTCAGAATGCCTCCGTTTTGTAGCACGTTGTTTACCTTTCAACCCAGTGGGCGAAGGTGTCAACTCGTTGTCTTCAACCGTCGCTACGGCGTCTACAACATTCAAGGACAACGCAGGGGAAACTTCCCCGTCCTCTGCCATCGTTTCTGCAACTTTTAAGTCAGGATGGCTCTGCTTTGTGAAGGATTTCAATTGAAAAACACTCTGAAACGAGAGACGTGCCGCGAGCTAACGAGAAGCCATTTTGGAGAAGGAAGGGGAAGCATGGGAACGAGTCTTTTGGGGGTCTCGTTATGACTTTGAAGGGCTTGAATTAACCGGAAGCCGGGGAGAATACGCTATTATATCTTATGGAGGTTTGTGAAATGAAATTGTTTAAACTCACTCAATCCCTGGAAGTCAGGTGGGCCTGATAATATCCCGTCTTGGGTTCTTAAAGAATATGCAATGATTCTCTCATTACCAGTGATGAAAATCATAAACAGTTCCTACACTGAAAACAAACTCCCCCCAATTTGGAAGCAAGCAAATATCATCCCAGTCCCAAAGGTGACGCCAGCTCATGACATTAACCAACATCTTAGACCCATTTCGTTAACTCCTCTACTTTCTATTAGTCGCCGAGGAACTCGTGGTTATTAAGCATTTAAAACCCGCAATCCTTAAAGTTTTAAATGTAAATCAATATGGTGTTATTCTCGGCTCGTCCACAAACCAGGCGCTTATTAAAATGATTCATAAATGGTCGGAGAAAACAGACGGTGCTAGAGCCTCAGTAAGGATGTTTTGGTTGATTACCAAAAAGCTTTCGATTATGTAGACCACACCATCGTCCTATCTAAACTGAAATCCCTCGAAATCCCTGATTCCACTGTTAGTTGGATTGCAGATTTCCTGAGTGACAGACAACAACGAACCAAATTGGGACACGACTGTTTTTCGGAGTGGGGGAATGTCCCAGCTGGTGTCCCTCAAGGAACCAAGCTGGGTCCGTGGTTATTTATATTGATAATAAACGATCTAAAAACACGTTGTTTAGACGAGGTAAAATTCGTAGACGATCTAACGGTATATGAAACAGTAACCAGATTTGGTTCAAGTGATATCCAACATGCAGTGTCCGAAATTGAAGAGTGGTCCGAGTCAAACCTTTTCAGACTGAATGAAAACAAATGCAAAGAATTGCGGATAGACTTTGCGAAAAATAGAAATCCCTTTCCTCCTCTTAAAATTAATGGTAAACCCTTACAAGTGGTGGAAGAAGCAAAATTACTGGGTCTTACTATCGCGAACAATTTGAAGTGGAATAGTCATGTCAATAACATAGTGACAAAAAGTTCCAAAAGGATTTACCTTTTAGTGCAGCTGAAACGAGCAAAAGTCGCGATTCAAGATGTTTTACAATTCTATACTGTATGTATCCGCCCCATTCTGGAATACGCTTCCACTGTTTTCCACTACTCTTTACCTAAATACTTGAGTGATGAAATTGAACGAGTACAAAAACGGGTTCTTCGAATTGTATATCCGAACTTACATTACGAAGATGCATTGATGAAAGCTTGGATGGAGACATTGTACGCTAGAAGGCAAATTGCCTGCAATAAACTTTTTAATCAAATTTTAAATAACCCGAACCATAAACTTCATAATTTAATCCCTAAAATAGATACTTCATTAAATTACCAATTACGAAACAACAAGAAGATATACATGTTCCGAAATTCTATACTGAACGTTTTAAGAATTCGTATGTCATCGGCTCATCGCTAGTTGTTTAGACATAAATAATCGTAATTCAACAAATTAGTGTTAGTTTTAATATTTATAATCTTCTTAGTAAACCATAGCATAGGTTGTAATTTTTTAAATGTAATATAATTTGTATTCAGTCTTATTTATATTGTAATCGCTTAC